CATTGTATGCTTGTAATTAGTTTTTGTAGTGTTGCGTTTGTTTTAAATGTGGTAAATTATGGATTTGTTTTTTGTTGACTTTGTACCGCGCTTCGAGCCTTTGGGGATGAAGCGTGTTTTTGAAATGAACTTTATTATTATTATTATTATTATCAACAACAGTTTCATCTGGCTTTTGTCGACCAAGAAAACATTTTTGACAGGGGGACATAAATAAGCTCTGAAAGGTCCAGGAAACTGCAGAGTAAAAGAACAGCCCCTCTATAAAAGACTCTCTGGGTGGTTTGACTTAAAACATGGTGCCCTACAGTGCAGCTCTCTATCACTGTTGCAAGCTTACAATAACAGGAACTAGTTTCAGGGCCAGAGGAAGACCACACCTTTGGTATATTGACTGAGTTAAGGACACCCTACCTTATAAACCTCCAATTGGCCTCATACATGGCAGTAATCCATCAACTGTAACTATCCCGCGATGACTCCCCAGTTAAAGCAAACAGAATAATTATCACCAAAATTTTTTATAGAAATAAAAACTGCTAAAAAAAAAACCCCAGGGAGGTGGTGACATCAACCATTTGACATAACCGGTATTAATAGGAAGTGATTAAGGTCAAGTGAACAAAGACATAGCAACTCAACACAGCAGATATTAAAATGAATCCAAAAATGTATTTTTTAAATATTTACATATTATCATTTGTACAAAATATATCTGTTATATTATAGAAATGGATAACAAAAAAGTCCACCATAAGTTATTTTCTTATTTATAAATTTTTAAACTTTTCTCCACACAAATGATGTTTCAACAAAATAATATGTTACCAGCAACACTCATTCATTGATTCATAAAGCTGTTAACTGAAATTAGGGAATCACCTGATAAAGTTAGTTGAATACAATTTTCAGCATTCCATAATTAAATTTGTAATATTGAAACTCCCTATTCTTAAGCATTCTATATTTCAAGTTTTATATTGAAGAAGTCTGAATTTAGCATTTTTAATTTACTTCAAATAAATTTTGAAAGAACCAAATTAAATTTGAATTTTATGTTAAATGAAATTTTTGCTTATCTTAAGAACTTTTATATCACTGGAAACCCACTTCAAACCATTTTATTTTGTCATGTCTTTAGATATATGCAAAAAAAACATTGGTTTCTAAAATATATCCTGGCAGGTGGTGCATATTTTAAAAATGATGACATTATGATATAAACTCTCTAAACAACAAACATACTTACCTTTCAATTGTTGTATACGTCTTTTTACCCTTGTTATGAGAGTAAATTATTTTGGAGATATTTTAGTCCTCAACTTTCCCCAAATAAATTGCAACAAAACATGGCAGCTAAGGACTTTTAAAATGCAACAAAATTTTATTTTTAAAAGCAAACATAAGTTAGATAATTTATTTTAGCATTATTATTGTGTCAGTCAGTCCAGATAGAAAATAATTTGCTGCAGTATTTAATCAAGCAAGGATAGCAGTTGTGGGAAGTTGAAATCTGTGGGCTGCCTGTGGCTCTGCAGTTTTCTTACGGTACTGTGCATTGATTTCTTCACTGTCTTTAATTCTCTGTTCACGATCTGCTTCCTGGTTGCGGCGTAGGATCTGATTGATGCAGTACTCGGCCTCTTGTCCTACTTCAGTCAATCTCAAGTCAATGTGGAGAATAGTTTTGTTTTCTTCCATTCCCTCTTGCAGTTGCTTACCCCCATCCTATATGTTTACAGTCGGAATAAAACAGGAACATTTTATATCAAATATAAAACCTAAACACTTTATATAAAATATGAAACCTAAACATTTTATATAAAAAATAAAGAAAGGCAAACGCTAAATTATAAGAACATGACTAATTTATTAAAAAAATAATTAAATTACGGCTAATTAAAAAAATTCATGTATGCATCTAACATTTAGGTGTCTTTGCACCTAAATGATAAAGTCTTTAAATAAATTGCTCAGCATATTATCTATAAAACTTTTTAAGTGTGTGTAGTAATCATTGAAAGAAATAGATAATGGCTAGGAGTAAATGATCTTACAGGTCCAAGTCTGTTGCATGACAGATCCAAGTATCGAAGAACAAGGTTCTGTGACAAGACTTGATTCAATATGGCTGCCGTTGGTTCCACAAGATCATTGGAAGATAAGTTCACTTCAACCAAAGTTCTGTTTTTCATAAGAGCCCTTGTAATAGCCTGGCCCCCTTCATCTCCCATACGATTTAATCTCAAATTCAAATACTGAAAATAAATGGTATGAATACAACTAAAATAAAATAACATCTGCTCTAGATAATGAGGATTTCACAAACCAAATAATGATTCAAGAGTAAACATAGATTTTCTTGATTATTCCCTGATTATCTCCCTATTTAATGGAGTTTTAGGAGGAAGTTAATTTCTATTGTACTTACTCAAAGTTTCTGGTCAAGTAAGTCAAAGAAAATTTACTTTTGACTCTACTTCTGATGGACAAGCAATTAAACATACATTTCTCAATTTAACTTTATCCTCTGTTATCTCTAAGAACCCTATCTCATTAACATGGATTCAACTCTAATACTTATGAAAATCCAAGTTTGATTGAAATAGAACCAATTCATAAAAATTATTTTGTCAGTTTCCCAGTCCATTTTTACAAAAGCTGTTATGAAAAAACGTAAGTTCACTGACCTGGAGTAAATTATTTTTTGTTAAAGCATAGGCAATGGCCTGGGCACCCGCTACTCGAATTTGGTTATTGCAGAGGTTAAGTTTCACTAACTTGCTATGGTTGTTGAGGAATTTACCAATAGCTCTAGCACCTCTGTCACCAATTATATTGTGTGACAAATCTAATTCTATGAGGCCTGGGTGATCAAGGATGTGGCTTATAAAAACTCTGACCTGACAACAGAAGAAAAAGGATGCATCAAACATCTAACATAATAGTTACATAAAACTTGTTATTTTTGTAGAGCCAAAAGAGCACACATTAATAAGAAATTTGAAAAAAGGCAGCACCTCTTAACTCTAATAAATAAGTAATCTATGTTTATTTTTTTACAGAGGAAATTGTAAAAAATAAATTTTTAATGTAAACCAACTGGATCCCATAATTAGTTTCCAAGTACCAGCTACAGGGATTTTTCCCCAAAATGAGCAACCCTGTCCAGTGCAAGCTCCAGGGGTATATCCCAAAATGAGCTTCGCTGTCCTATGCTAGCATCAAAGGTATTATCCCCAATGAGCTTCATTGTCATAGGCAAGCTACAAGGTCTTATCCCATACTGAGCTACCCTGCTTTATACTTGCTTATGAAACATTCTAATTGTGTTAAGAGATTTTAGTGTAATCAAGATTCAAAGATTTTTTTTCTTTAAATTGAAAAAAATTATTACAGTACAGTAATTACATTACAATTAATCCTGGTTAGTGAAAATTACATAGATTGCTAGCAAAATTAAATATGACCTATGGGAAATCATATCTATTTATAATTAATGTTGGATAAACCATTTACCATGCCCTCAATATATAATATAAAGAAGTTTTATTTCATACTTTGTCATCATCCATCTTGCTTCTATGTAGTCTGAAGACTTTTAGATTGGGCAAAGCAGCTATACATTCAGAGAGCTGGAGGCAGTCTCTGGCGGTAAACTGAAACAAACTCCACTCAAAATTCATACCACAGTCCCGAACACCATAAGTCACATGGAACTCTTCTAAGAAGGAAAGTTTCTTCAAAACTGGTCCAAAATTAAAGTGATCTGACTCTGAATCATCACCTGCATCGCTGGCCGCCTCAGAGATCTCATCAAAATCAGGGCCTTTTGATTTCTGTGGCACAGGGGGTAGCAACTGTCGAATGTCCAGCTTTTTGATGAAATTTGCTGACAGCATGACGGTATCATCTAATTCGTCTGAGTCAGATGCTTCAGGAACAAACAGCTCAATAATTTGCTGCAAATTTCTCTCAAAATACATCCTCTTCCAACTGTTACCAAAAGAAGAGACATCACAGAGTTCCCATCGAGCATGACAACATCTTTCCCAGAATCCCTCATCATCTACCAACAACGCTGTTACTTTAAGAGGTAAATCTGTTGAAATCTGTGCCAAAACTTTTTTCTGATCCTTAGTGAGTAGATCTTTTAACACTTCTGATTTATCTGAATAGAGGAAAATATTAATTTAATTAAAAATTAGCTTTGTAGGTTTGGCAAAACCTGAGAGAAAAAAAAAAAAATTTCACCATAATTAAAAATATGAATATATTTTCTGAATTTGACTTCATACTGTTAGGTAACATACAGACTAATCGGAGACAATTAATTTAATAAGTTTCATTCAAACATAAAATGATTTCAATAGTAATGACAACAATGATTACATTTTCAATCTTAAAAGCTTTTTTATCAGTTTAAATCATTTGTGTTTTTGTATTTTTAAACTCTAATAGACCGCTTACTTTCAAAATTTTTAACAATATGTTTTATAACAAGTTCATTCAGAAGTGGAACAGTCGCAAGAGACCATTCTGGATCCTCAGCAATAATTCTCCGCATATTACGCCAATCTCCTATTCTGTTTTCAGAAGCACTTTCTACTGGAATAACATCTAATGAGGGCTTCTTAAGCTCTATAGGACTCTTTGGTTTTGGAGATAGTGGTACCACTGGGGATAACCCTTTGCTTGGAGGGGATCCTTCAGTGTCCTCTTTGACTTCCAACATGCTTTGAGAAGGAAAAAATATTTTTATCATTTATAAAGCTGATATAGGCATATCTTAATGAAAACCTGCTTTTCAAATCAAGTAATACATTAAATATAACACCGAGCCTCTAAGTGGAATGAATTCTTCAGATTTAATTCCTGGGTACCATATACTAAATGACAACTTATGAAATAGCACATAATTTCCAGATTGTAATGTTTTGTAAATTATCATTGTAATTGTATAAGTATTTTAAGACATAATATTTTTAAGATGAAGAATTAATTATATTTTTAAATAAAAAGAATGTACTTTTGAAATATATGTTAGTTTCTATAAATATTTCTTAACATACATCTTAAATAAGCCCAAATAAACAATAGCTGCAGGAAATAATCATTAAAAATTAATTAATTAAGATACAACAGTTCTACATGTCTTTAATTAAACTTTAAACAGTCAAGCACAGTCGGCACTAACAGCACACACAGAAATTGGTTTGCAACAACTCGTGTCAAGCTTCTCCAATGCCTGCAAAGAATTTGGTCTGCAAATCAGCTTGAAAAAGACAAACATCATGGCCCAAGACACTCGACCTCCACCTAACATAAAAATCGATAATGAAAACTTGGAGGTTGTGGACAGCTTCACCTACTTGGGGTCCAAGGTCTCCAATACACTGTCCATTGAAGAAGAAATTAACAGCAGAATCGGCAAGGCAGCTGCCACAATGGCTAAGCTAAATAAACGGGTCTGGCAAAACACCAAGCTAACGGAGAAAACCAAACTGTGCGTCTATCGAGCTTGTGTCATCAGTACACTACTATACGGGAGCGAGACATGGACCACCTATACATCCCAAGAGCGCAAGCTTAATAGCTTCCATTAACGGAGAAAACCAAACTGTGCGTCTATCGAGCTTGTGTCATCAGTACACTACTATACGGGAGCGAGACATGGACCACCTATACATCCCAAGAGCGCAAGCTTAATAGCTTCCATATGAGATGCCTGCGTCGCATCCTTGGTATTAAATGGCAAGAAAAAATGACTAATAGTGAGGTCCTAATGCGTGCGAATACCCAAAGCATGTTCACAATCCTTAGTGAAAGACGCCTGAGATGGCTAGGTCATGTTAAAAGAATGAGTCCCGGCAGCATTCCAAAAGACCTCCTATATGGTGAACTTGCTTCGGGAAAGAGGAAAACAGGTCGCCCACGTCTGCGATTTAAAGATGTCTGTCAAAGGGACATGAAAGCAGCCAAAATACATACAAGTGACTGGGAGTGTAAGGCAAAAGACCGATCTACGTGGCGCACAGTTGTCAAAGAGGGCGTCATGGTAGCCGAGGAGCGAAGAATGGAAGAGGCTGCAGACAGAAGAGCTAGGAGAAAGGCCAAAACATTTAGAAGCACGGAACTCGTTTGTAAAAACTGTGGTAAAGACTGTCACTCAAGGATAGGACTGCACAGCCACTCGAGAAAATGCAACCCAACCCAACGGTGATGCACCATCATCTCACGAGATGGAAGGATGCCGATTATTATAAACACTCAAGTCAATGAATGCCTCTAAAACTGTCAATATATTTAACTTAGAATGTGATAATTTTGGCATTCCACACTTTGCTGCTTTACTACACTAATTTACAGTCCATTTTGATTTTATTAATATTAACATTGATTAGTGAAAAAATAATACATTTTAACTTAACTTCCTAACATGTTTTCTTTGATTAAAAAACAAGTTTGGAAAGCAGGGAAAGAAAAATGTTATTATTTTTTGGTAATCTCATATTTTAGTATATTCAATTACTTACTTTATATGACTCAAGATCAACTCAATTCAGAAATGTCTACATTTCACATTGGTGGTAGGATTAATTAATAAATTCAAGCTTATTCTGATGATAATTATCTAGTAATATTTGATTTTTTAGGTGACTTTTAATTTTGTCAATAATTTGGAATTAATAAATTTGATTACTTCACATGTTTTCTTGATGAAAGAAGTCTTACTATGCCTATTAGACCATGAATACTGTTGTAAATTACGACAAAAGAATACTGGAGCTTAAATTTTTTATCTAGTACAATTCGTTAAATTGTAGTTAAAATGGTAACTATTTTTGTTTGCTTGACTTGATAAATCTGGCAAGTTAATTCTTTAAAAAAATAAATAGATTAAATAGACTAAAACTAAACCGATTTAACTGCTATTTGTCATTTTATTTTTTAAGCACGTTAGTTAAGCTTAACTGCTGCTTTAGTGATAGTATTTATTACACTCACAGTAATCAGTACTGTCATTGAGTCAGTGTCATCGATACTAATACTAATCCACTATACACTATACTAGTATAGTCTATACTCTAAACTACTACACTACTGTATAAACTATATTTATTGTTTTAAATATTTTAATAATATTTTAAATATATGTAATACTAATACTAGTAATACAGTATATCAGTATTGACTGAGTATTGTAGGCCTGAGTAGGCCAACACAACAAACAGCCAACAATGTGCTTTCTGCTTAGCAATTTTAATTTACTGACAGTGGGTGTTCCTAGTCTAAAATATAAAAAAAAAATAATTAATAGTGACATATCAATACATTTACATTTGGTTTTATGTGTCAGTGATTGAAACAATTTATCCGTGAAATTAACAATAATAATAGTAAATAGTGATCATAGGTGCTATCCAAACGGCAGTAGGCTTGGTAACTATGGTCACCGACACTTCCGTTCTTAAGTTGCAAGAGAATCGTTCTTTTTGGTAAAGAAAACAGAAGGAGTTAACTTCCGCAAGAAGGATCACTCGGTATCACATGATTTCATTATCAAAATGTCTGACAAGGATAAACTCAATGTTTTCCCATCTCGAATGTGAGTAATCTTTAATTCGTTATTTATCCAAAGATTTTAATGATGCTGTTTAAATAATTGTTAAATTAATTATTGTATAAATGCTTTAAATGTAAGTTTAAAAATACGTTCACACAAGTTTTTCTTGCAGTTACGTACCTAACCGCTGTTAATAACCGTTTATCTCATTGCCAAAAATTATCTTCTTATTCTTCTTGCAGAAGCAACAAAATTAATGCTGATAATAGCCCCAATAATAGTTATATTGGTTATTGAGTAACAATTGTCTTAGTGTCTACTGCACTAATTCTACTACTAGTTTCACTTATTTGACTAAAACAGTACCGCCTAGTCTAACTCTAAGTCACTAAGTCAAAAAAAAGTAAGTGAAGGAAGTGAACTATTCTTAGGCCCCATGCCATTGATTCTTCATTGAATTTAAATTGTCTTTATTTTTTTTAATTAATAAAATTACAAATTTACACTTCGGTGTTGATACCCTGACAATACTGATTTATGAACTCTGAAGTGAAACTGTAACTTTTATTTATGTAAATGTAACAATTGTCAACTGACTACTGGTTTGTATGATTATGATTATGATAGTCACAGTGCTTCTCCCCTGGCTTTACAGTCTACTGTTGTCTACACTACTGCAACTACGAAAGCTTAAGTATATTTTGTCTCCAACTGAAGGCAGTGTGGTGTGCTACTGTAGCAAAAGTACTGGCACTGGTCTACTTTTAATCTGTTGATTGACATGTACCAAATCTTATTTTTATTATTTACCCTAAAGTTGTTTTTCTGGTGGTGTCAGGTGGAATTCTTTATTTTAATTAATACAAAATTATGTTGAAGAATGATTCATTTTTTTCTTTGCTTTCATTTAGGGCTATGGCCATTATAAAGGCTAGGCTAAAGGGAGCTCAAAAAGGTCACAGTTTATTAAAAAAGAAAGCTGATGCTTTAACCTTGAGGTTTAGATCTATTCTTAAGAAAATTATTGAGGTAAGTCTTTTATGCACAAACCTCATCATGATATTATGATCATGTATGTTTTTTAAAATAAATTATAAACATCCTTTTTTTTAATACCAGCCACTTAACTTGCATGTGGTATAAAGTTAAGGTTTTGATTTAGCCAATAAATGCTGATTTTAAGTGCATCTACTCACAAGAGAAATGGCTGTTGATTGATTATCAATAAAAATGTGATAGTTTAAAAAAAAAATTGTTTTAATAAAAACTGATAATTTTTATCATTTTCTCCATCTAGACAAAGACTGAAGTGGGTGAGGTGATGAAAGCTGCCCAGTTTTCATTGGCTGAGGCAAAGTTTACTTGTGGAGACATAAGTCATGTCATTCTACAGAACGTTACCAAAGCTGCTGTCAAAGTCAAAAGTAAAAAGGAGAATGTGGTTGGTGAGTGTAAAGATTTTTTATCATCTTTCCATACAATAAAATTAAAATTTAGACATATCGTAACTTTTGATTCGGTAACAAAATATATTTTATTTCATGTGACTGTTAAGCAAAGTCCATTACATTGTTATAATTACCATAGTTAATGTGAAGCTTCTGGCATTTATATACGTAACTTTCTTCATTATTAATTTTAAATATATATTAACTCTCAAAAGACGGGAGATTGAAAAATCGGTCATATATGGCGGGTGAAAAAAAGGACCCCTAATATATATATAAAAATAATATTAAAAGGCGAAAATAAAGATTTACTATTTTGGAATGTTAAATTTCTATTTGGCAAGAAAGAAAAATCGTTTATTTTACTGGTTCTTGAAGAAATCTGGTAGCAACTTGTCCATTCATAAATTTTCCTTTTCGCCATTTACTCATATTTTGCCACAATTCCGGTTCACTGTTACTACACTCTAAAACATTGCTATGGAATCTGATTCTGATTATAAGCTTGAAATGGACAACTATTCTTACTTAGAGGAATATTTTTGATGAAGATAGCACTTCAGATGTGTCTGATACCGAGAATTGTGTAAATTATCATCATAATAATAGCATCCAAGGTTTGTTTACTTTTTTCATTCATACTCAACTCACGCATACTGTGATACTTCTTAGCACTATTATTAGCCCTAACATTAGTTTTATTCAAGTTCCAGTAGTATAAAATTCTTAAATAGATTAAATTATTTATTTGTTTGAAACTAATTTGTAGTTATACAATTATTTTAATATTATTACGTTTCAGTTAGCAAAATGTAAACAATGGTTCTCAAGGCCAAGGCTATTATTACAATTACACTGTAACAATCAGCTGTGTTCCCTTTTCAATGAAAACTTGAAGTAATAGTAATTTAGGCAGATTGTTTATTATTTTGAATTCTTTTTATTTATATTGTAATTTTTTTTTTTAGCTAATTTTTTTTTATATATTTTGACAGCATCTATGAAGGGCAGATGTCAAACATAGTCAATACAATGGGTTATGATGACAAAAGACTGTGGGACTCTTTGCTGCATTTAGACCAGAGGTGAAAAGCACTATTGCTTCCTGATGTTATAACAAGAGAGGATATAAGGAGATTTTAAAAGCAAATTGACATTTTCAACCTCTACTTTACTACAGATTTGGTTGGTTATTAGTAAGCCTTGTGCGCAGGACAATGGACCGCAGAACTTTTGTGTTTTCAAAAATTGGTACCATTATAACATCATTGAAGGGGAGTTTTATCTACTAAGTGGATTTATTATGAATGCAGGACTTATCAAGCTCTTAATTTTACAAGAAATGTCCAGGAAATCCTTTTATGATGGACAATGAGCAAGGCCATTAGTACTAAGGACATATTCAAGGCTATATTGAGTTTCCTAAAAGTTTCTGATACTGAAAATAAAGGAAACATGCTGTGTACAATTGGGAGACACTTCTGTATCTCAATGCAAAATACAATCAACTGTATCAGCATCAAGAAAATGTAGCAATTAATGAACAATTTAGGGAACAATTGACATATTTGATGATAAACCTGATACTGTAAAGCCCGAAATCTTTACATCGTGCGCCGCAACATGACAATAACAAAAAATGTAATTGTGGGTTACCAAAACAGGGTAAAATGGTCAGAGCATATGTCACAGGCTTTGTTTTTGATACATTTTTATGTTTTAATAAATAAAGAAATTGTTTTCAAGAATTTTTATGCATGGTCTTGGCGAAGGATTATATCCTTTGATCGGTATCTCGGGGATGCATAAAAAATGTTTATTTATTAAAATGTGCCTTTTTTCTTAACTTTTCTTCTCAAATAATACTTACTAATAACCCTCTAAAGGATAATATGATGCAGTATATGTTTTCCTTTGAAAAAAAAAATTATTATTATTTTTTGAAAATAATTTTGACTTTTTGAGCAATATTTCCTTGAATGATCTGTTGCCTACAAATAGTCATAACTTTTTTATTTATGAGTCTATTCTTTTGAAATTTGAATATGTTTTATAGTATTGAACACATTCTAATAAATTATCAATTTTATTGATTTAATTGGAAACACTTTTTTTTTTCCTTCTTTGTAAAACTGTGATGTTATGTTTTTGTCGACTTAAAAAAATTTTTTTTTTGCCTAAAAATAATAAAACATCAAATTTAGCAAGGATATTTTGAACAAACACCAAGTATCAATTAAAGAGCATCCAATTACCTTTAAAATGATATATAATACTTGGAGGTAGCTACAAAATTACAGTCATGAGACACTTTGAAGAATAAGATATATTCAAGGTCATTAAAAAATGGAAAAATCTACAGTCTTTTGAGAGTTAATGATATATACAATTTAAAAAAAAATATGTTAACGTCTAGTCTCATATACATATTTTAAAATTATTTTTCAGGTGTGACTCTGCCACTCTTTGAATCATATCAAGATGGAAGCGACAGTAAGGTCCCTTAAATTGTTCTTGCATTTTTCTTGTGAAATATGTCTAGATTGAAACAATCTTTAGTTGATTCTTGGTTTGTGCAATTACATTGACATTTCACATTTTTCAACAGCTTATGAGTTGACCGGCTTGGCAAGAGGTGGTCAGCAAATTGACAAAGCGAAAAAGAGCTATGGTAGAGCAATTACACTGTTAGTGGAGCTTGCGTCTCTGCAAACGTCTTTCATTACACTAGATGAAGTGATTAAAATAACCAATAGGAGAGTCAACGCCATTGAGCATGGTAAGTATTTGTTTTATAATGATGTTGAATAATTAGGATGTTCATTTGTATGGTTATCCCAATTAATTGGTGTGAATGTATAACTTCATTTTTGAAACCAATAATGTTATTTTGCGATATATATAATAGAGTTTTATAACAATTTCTAATGTTGTCTGCTTTTCTGTTCAATTTTCTCATCTCTCAAGATAATGTTAATGATTGGTATTTTATTATTTGACCATTTATTTTTGCCTAGTGATCATTCCCAAGATAGAAAGAACACTTGCCTACATTACATCAGAGTTAGATGAGAGAGACAGAGAAGAATTCTTTAGGTTTGTCAAGCCAATCAGTTATTCGCCCACTTTCTTTAATTAATCTTCAAATAAAAACATTAAATTTAGAAATATTTTAATTTATTCTTATGGAAGTTAAGATTATAATTATTTTGATATGTCGCAATATGTGTACTGGTAATATTAATAAGTATCTTGTGTGAAAAGTATGAAGGCTATTGCTAATATTTTTCTGAAATTAAAAAGCATACTACTTGTGATTGATTGTAAGATAAAACATATGAAGCCATGGCATACCTTGAGCTCCCTTAATCTGTAAATGCTAACAGAACAAAATTAATTAATTTCATTTTTCTTTCTTCTTCAGATTGAAAAAAGTTCAAGAGAAGAAAAAACGTATCAAAGCTGAGGAAGAGAAACTGAAACAAAAACGCATTGCCGAAGCTGGTGTAGAACAGGATGACGCCCCGACCATATTTGATGACTTTAGGGATCCGGATATTTTATTTGACTAGCCAAATTTTTTTGTTCGCTAGCGATATGTTGTAAATTTCATAAAATCTCATAGCTGTGAGTGTCGCCAGTCCATGTAGCTGAGGATTTTCTTTTATTTAGTGTTGAGTGTTTGGTGTCAGGTAGAGTTTAATGACAGATGAACATTTTGTCTCTTGCACTATCTGATAGGCCACTGAATGATAAAGATGTAATTGTCTTTAATTTAGGGAGAAGAAAACAATAAGTCATTTCTTAAACCTGTAAGAAATAGTTACAACAGTAAAATTTCTTCACATGTGATAGTTTTCTAATTTGAAATGGTAGGCTTGTATTTCTTGTGATAAAAGTTGTTTACCCATGACTTATTGTTTGTTAGTTTGCCTGAAAAAAAAATTGTCCACAGTGATACACTAACATGTGGATGTGTCCATAGTGATACACTGACTAGTGGATGTGTCCACAGTTACACACTGACATATTGATGTTGTATGCATGTAGTACATACTCTTTAAAAATGAGCTGCTTGGCTTGTTAGTAAAAGTTTTTAAAAAAATATTTCGCCAAAATCATCTATGGGTGTTCTACTTTGGGGGTTTGCCGATATGCTTCACTTAGCTCATTAATGTGATAAAATAATCAATTCTCTGGAGTTCTTATGGGGACTACCTATGTAGTTTTGTAGCAAGGACTGAGATTCTAAAAATCAGTTGTAGTACAGGAAATGTTAAAACTGTGATATTACACTCTGTCCCAAAGTTTTCTTTCTGTTTCGGTTAATTTAATATTGATGTGTTATTTTGATTATATAAAATAGATGAGGGTGTGGGGCTCCCCCTTTAAGTAATAGTGGAGTTTACTTGAGCCGAGCTGCCATTTGAAAGCCATGTGAGAATGATTGTGACTATTTAATCGAGGAAGTAGCTACATATATTTGGTTTCTTGTTTAGGCAGCCTCATCAGTACAGTGGAATAACATTTTGTGCAAACTTTCTCTTTCTGATAGATGGAATAAAATATGAGATTTAATAATTAATATGATCATGAGCATTTAAAAAAAAAAAAATCTTTAGGCCAAGTTCAATCCAACTTTTGATAACAATGTTTTGGCAATCCATCATATGCATCTTGGCCACTGGAGATATGTGTTGGTCGAGGCAAGATATATGTTTACAACTTGCAGACATACCGGTATTTTGAATCAGAAGTAACTGAGATGTCTTTTTTTTCAGTTCACTTAAAATCTGTTTCTTTTGAGAGTACTTGATGGTGGCTAAGGGCTGTATTAATATGTATTTACTATGTATAACACTTGTATGTAATAATTTATTGTACAATTTTCATGACACATTATGTATATGTCATTCATTTAATAAACAGAACCACTGTCATTCCTGAGTTTTTCATGTTTAAGTGATTTAGTCTTGCTTTAAATGTCACTTGATCCTTAAATTTTCATACTTAACTAAATGTTGTGAAGCAGAGACCCATCAAATGTGTATTTTATCATTTGTTTCATGTGATGGGATTTACTTTAATTAACAGTGTCCATTAAAAAAGATTTCTTTAGCTGCAAATAAGAATATATATAAAATAATTAATTGAATCTAGTTGAAATATTTAATTCTCAAGTGAACAGTTTCTAGTTGGTGAATAAGCTAATTTGAGGCTGGTTAGAGATACAGTATCACAATGACAACCATTACAAGTATTAAATAATGCATCAGTGCTCTAATAATCACTGCTTAATACTAAATAGTTGAGAGCATTGCGGTGTCATACATGATTAGATCTGAATACAGTAAGCATCACAATGTCATCTAGGAGAGGAACTTTGATCCTTTCATGAACTGTATTATTGGCTCTTTTCACCCCTCCATTAAAATTTAAATTCACATCACCGGTCTCTGTCAGTTGACTTTTTGTACCTTACAGTCACCCTACAAAAAGACAGCCTACTCCTCTCAGCCTACCTTAAACCTACATACAGCCACAGCTATTGACTATACTCTTCTTCCCACCCTAAATCTTGTAAAGACTCCATTGCCTTTTCTCAAATACTTTGTCTTCATCAACTTTGCCAGGGGGAGGGTGTCCTTTGGGGCAAGACACTTGAGATGATAGACTATTTCTGAGCTAGGTCCTACCCGGAGACAGTACTTACTTCAGCATTTCAAAGAGTTTAAAATATTACACTTGCTAATGTCTTCAAGTCTTGTCCAGATGACAATGGTGACAGGACCAAACTTATTTTCACCCATCATCCTCACAATCACATAGCCAAACAAGTTTTCTTTAAAAACTATTCATAGACCCTGACACCCATGACATTTTCTCTTCCTCGCCTCTCATTGTTTTCTGATGTGATAAAAATCTGCAAGACCTCTTGTGTGAAGTCACATCCATGCTGCAAACTTTGGGATCAAGCCATGTGGCAGTTTTCAGGTAAGGGATGGTTTCCTTTGTACTAGCCGCAATGTTGTCCATGCCATTGTTTGCACTCAAAACCAGATGGCATATCTAGATGAGACTGGACGTTGCCTCTCTGACAGATTTACTGAACATCTCCATGTTATTGCACAAGATAAGCTTTAAACAGTGTCCTACCTCAAAGCATTAAACAGATGCAACCACAAGGGTTCAGAGGATTTTGTTTTCACTGGCATTGTGTCTTGTGCAAACAAACCAAACCGGGTAAATTTTGAGAACAAGCTGATCCAAACTTCTGAAACCAGTCACCACATGGCATGAATGTCATGTTCTTATTCTCTTATTAAAACTTTTGTCTGCCCCCTCCTTGTTACAAACTATTGCAGTGGTCTTACCTTTGCTCTCCTCCATCCCATTTTGCCTGTACTTAATCTTTACCCTACTTATGTTCAGTCACTTTCCTCTTTCTGTCCTCTCCGATACTACATTGCAGCTAATATATTTATGAACATAATAGTAAAAGAGTACTGGGGATTTAAAAACGTTTAATGCATGAGCTTTTCTAAATTGTTTTAGAGCAAAACTTGACTAGGCTAAAAGAATGTATCCTATAATTAGATGCGCCTAAGGGAATTTACCTCATAAATCTCCACCAAGATGAAAAATAAAATCATTCACATTTTACAGTTTAAAAAAAAAAAAGCAAACTGTTACTGTCATTTTGTGAGCCTTTGCAACTTAAAAACATGCCGATGTCGTGCCTGAGGTACCCTTGCACAAATATGTCAGCAGGTGGCGTCTTCTTTACACCATACTGCCATTATTTTATTTAATTTAATATAAGACATTCTTATTCAGTTCACCATTCCATATCCTTATCGCACAACTATAATTGTAGTTTTACTTATTAATAAGCACAAAATTATTTGGTTTATACATTCAGTTAGCCGCATTTTGTTTATTTTTTAGAAAACGTGAGAATTTAATTTTAAAAATTTAACTTAAGTGACATCATCAATAAATTAAATACGGAAAATAAATTTACTTCGACAATATTGTTAAATTTCGGTAAATAGTGTTACCAGTTTCTAAAAATGGCACCCTCCACCGCCCCTATTTTCTATCTTTAATCTGATTCATCAGTGCAGCTGTTGTCAATAAATTTTTCGATCTATTGCGATAGTTAAGCTTTCACTGGAACATTTTAAACTCTTTGGTTAACATCTGTAAGTGTAAAATATGCAAATTTAACGTTGACTTTGTTCAATATAATGTGTTATATAAATGTAGACGTAGCTTAGAGCCGTAGATTAAAAACTTTAAAACTTTTGACAAACTCACTGTTTAAAATTAAAATGTTTAAGTTTAAGCTTAGTTAGTGTTTAAACTTTAAATTCTAAAACTAAAGTCTAGTAAAGTGTTAAGACTAAAAAGTAAAAAGGTATTTGTTCCAGCCAAAATCTCGGTGTTGAATCCATGTTGAGAATCCATAATTCATAGAATAGAATAGTTATTCTAAGTTATGCGACATAGGTGTTTGTTTATACTGAACAGTACAGGCACAGCTGACGGATCAATTTTAAATTTAGAATGCAAGAGTTACGGTAAAAAACTTGTGGCTCTTTAAAATATCTTTAAATGATTAAATTCAGCAGAGATAAATGTAATAGGAACAAAAACGGTAAAATTTAATAAAATAAATAATTTCAGCCGGTATATTGTACATTTATTTCGATGGTCAACATAGAAACTTATTTGTATCTCTCTAGATATGCAGCAAGAAGTGTCCAAAATATTTTTATTGTTTTTTAATTTTTAAATTTCTCTTACCACAGTGTGTAACTGTATAAGATGTGTTTTATTTTAGGGAAGGGAGCAACTGCGCATCTTCTTGCCGCATATCTAGAGGGATACATTTAATTTTATAATGTCTATTATTAATCAGACTTTCTAGTGGGTATTATAGTGTAGGAATCATGGTTTTATTCATAGTATGTTTTTACTGTATCCTTCTATAATTCTATATTATAGGCCTAGTGCTGCATAATATCAAGTTTAATTTGTAAAGAATTTTTTCTCTTTTATTCAGTAGGAAGAAACATACTATCAATTTCAAGTTGGTAATTTTTTAAAGTTTGACAAGCTGATCCCAAAAGGTTCTTTCATTTTGTGGTAAATCTAATCCCTTTTATGTTTATTATTATTAGATTAAATTTTGGTCAAAAATGTTATTTAAAAGTTAAGATTTAATTAAATTAAATGTATTTTGCATCATTATGACATTAAATTAAATTGTATTTGCGGTATTATTCAGCTTGGCCACACACAATGGTATAGCTAGAGTTTGTCTAATGAGGCAGATCCCCCCCACGCCCATTCCCTTGTCTCCCTGCCTCCCAAACTACCACCCACAGTTAGCATAGGGATATCTGAGTGGTATCAAAACTTGCAAAATATATATTATGTAATCAGTGATAAATGGCGGCAGTAGTTATTATTAGTGGCAATGTTTTATTGATGAGGTATGCATTGGTGTTTGTGATGATGTTTGGCAGTAACATCTTGAATTATTCTTTCATTTTAGTGTATTGAATCACTTACTGATATGTTTAAAACAGTTATGGAAAATTGATTTATTGTTGATAACTGATTTAAATTTGCTTTCATCGTTCATCAATGACAATCGACATTGCATTATTTATTATTATTTTTTTTCTTTTCTTTAGGCATGTAGTCTTCTTTGTTTCCGAAGCTCTTTTCTGCAAGTGACAAACAAAAAAATGAAGATTCTGAATGAAAGAGGACTAGCTCATTTTGCCAACTCTGGAGCCCCACCAGACAAGGAAGGTTATTTGCACAAGAAAGGGGAACTCAACAAAGGATTTCAGAAGAGATGGTTTGTTCTAAAAGGCAATCTCTTGTTTTACTTTGAGCACAAAGCAGATAGAGAGCCTATAGGGGTCATTATTTTAGAAGGCTACACCATAGAATTAGCAGAAGATACGGACAATTTCACATTCATGATTAATTTTGCTGGCTCTGGTAGCCGGTCTTATAGCCTGTGTGCCGCAACCCAGGAGTCGATGGAGTCGTGGATGAAAGCCCTCTCGTGTGCTGGCTACGAGTACATCAAACTCATGGTTTCAGAACTCCAGAGCCAGTTGGAAGAGACCTCTAAAAATGCCGAAGCTAATCTCGTCAGTGAGGCTTATAAGGAGAGCAAAATTTTGGGCCGTATATACAACCTCGAAAGTAGCCCCAATTCAAAAGCTGACTCAAAAAATAAAATATCCAAAAGAGGAACTCTGCCAGCAGAAAGTAAAACGAGAAAGAACCCTTTCAACAATTTGGATTTAAGTGGAGAAAACGACCCGGGGGATGCCTTCAGGGCCATGCCGAAAGTTGCGACTGTTGAAATTGTTACCTGGTCTATACTTGGAGTAAAGTCATTTTATGAGATGCATGAATTTGTCAGGCAGCAAATAGAAGAATACAAAAATGGTGCCTGTGGCGCAGAGGGTAACTCTTGATGTTGGGTAATTGATTATCCTGTTAGCTGTTACCTTGTTACTTAAAAGTTTAGACATGTTTAGTTAAAATTTAAATACATTTTTTTTATTTTAAAATTTCTGGAGAGAAAATAAGAGTTTTCATTTAATGTTTTTGTAAAAATTCACTGTGCACATACATGCCAAACTCTGGGAGTCAGTTTAAATTAAACAATGAACACAAAAATTACAGAATACTTGCAGACTCTATTTCTTGTTTAGATTTAAACAAAAGGAGTGGCATCTACTTTTAATTATCAACTAAAAATTTTCAAAACTACTTTTGATTCTCACTCACAGTACTAAGCCTATTTGTGATGAGTCCCATGTGAGTTATATATGCATTGCAGATAGTTGCCACCCAGCAGTCAATGATAAACCATCCCCTTATTGCTGTATTTAGATCCTACACTGACTACAGGTCCTGTTGAACTGGGTAGTGGGTTTAAGCTTCATTTGGACCAAATATTGATGTGAGCTTAAGAGGTAGACCGTGGCTCTGATTGCTGCTGCCATGTTATAAGAATCTTGCCAATTGTAAGATTTATCATAATAAAATATAATATCATAATAATGTATATGTATTTAAATATTTTAAAATAGTTGAATAATTTATTTATTTAAAGAAAGTTAAATTATGATAGTATTTCTGTTGAAATTGTTAACATCCTCAAACATATTTAAACTATTTCTAAGTTGTGCAGAACTAGGAATATTTACCATATCTTCAGTAGGTCAGAGTAAGCTTTCTTGAATGTTATGTTTGCAAATTTTATGTGCCAATGGGGGATGATGGTTCTCAAAATGAGGACATAATTTTTTTGGTATAATTTTCATTTGCCAGTATAATAATTAACAAACTATATTATAACAATATTTGATAAACAGAAATAATTTTACAACGAATTCTCGTTAGACACAATATGAAAAGAGTTGATACAACCAACATTATCATGTTAGGGGCACTTACTTTTTATTACTGACAACACATTTTGTATTAGAAACCGTTTTCATTTCTATTTTTTAAATAAATATTAATCTCGGTATAAAATGTAAATATCCTGTGTGTGATTACTGAAAAATATTTCAGGTAAAAAAACATATTTGGCATGACAAACCACATTTGGGATGACAAACCATATTTGGGACGACAAACCTGTGTTTTTTGACAAACCATGTGCTACATTTAGATCCTAGAAATTATTTCGACTGCTTATCACAACAGAAAAATCTTTAAAAATGACATCGATTCATTCTAAAATATTTTTCCAAACTCTTATTGAACATCAGCTATCATGGACTAATGTTGGAGTTCAAGTTTGCAGCCATAATTGTTTTTCCCCTGTTGCCAAAAGTAATAACATTTCTATTATCTTGTGTGCAATTTTATTCAAAATATTGGAGTGAACACTTTTAATGTGTATTTAATTTTTAAAAATTTTTTATCTCTTGTGTTCCTGAATGCCATTTTAAAATATTTTGTGGAAAGCAGATATCCACAATCATATATTTATTTCATCTAATTTTAAATTTTATTCACCTTTCAATTTCTTTCTTGCTAGAAAATTGTTCTTAATGTGCCAAAATCTACAAATTTTAAAAAAATGTTAGTTGACAGAATCTTTTGCTATAAACTTGATTTTGGTTTTTATTTGTGGTTCTCAAACTTTTTTTTTACTGCCACATCCCCTTTGATGGCCGTGGACTTCCTAAAACTAAAATCATACTTAGCGCCACTGTTGCAAATGGTGATCCAAACTTTTTATCTCTTACAAATCATTGGTAAATAATTGGTTGCTGCATGTTTAGTTAATAATTCTGCAGACTCTACTGCACAATTGTATCTTCCACTTTCTCAGCCATTCAGCTATATTTTCATTGCACTGCACTTTTGCTGACAGGAATCCGATGTCTATTGTTTGTTGACTAAAAAATACTCGGTAATTCCTGATACTTCAGGAACGCTGCAACAATATTATAAGTCTTTTCAGATAGAGCCATCTAAGAAATCTTAAACAATGCATGCAAGCCAATCAGTGTTTGCACTGAGATGCATGGTAAGACATACTTGACAGTACAATCTCATTGTAAACTTTATTCTATTCTGATCGCGCCCTTGCTTCACATTGTCCGGACAAGTACTTTATTCTATTCTGATAATGTTCTTGTTTCACATTGTCTGGACAAGTACTTTAATCTATTCTGTTAGTGCCCTTGTTTCACATTGTCTGGACAAGTACTTTATTCTAGTCTGGTAGTGTCATTGTTTCACATTGTCTGGACAAGTACTTTTGTTAATAGCTCCCTTGTATTTATTTGTTAAAATTTGAGCATAGAAAGAATATTTTTCCTTGTTTTTCTGAAAAATGATATTATCTCTGTCTGATTTCTATCTTTGTGTCTTGCTAGCAATGTTATGTCTGAAACAAATGATGATATGTCATGAAATTGATATATGTCATTTCCTAAACTTGACAGATTTTGTATAAATGTGGTAGATATATGGTCATAAATTAATCAGTTTTTAAAACAAAGAATGTTTATAAGAATTGTTGCTTTTCACCTAGATTTTTCCCACATTTATACCCCATTACTTTTATAAATTAAAAAAACAATTAAACACATAAATAATCTTTTAAAGAATCGTTTACATTTTTTAAATTATAGTTCTGGATAAAATGGCTAAAATATAATACAGTACTTTTATTCAGATTAAGTGTTGTGGAATGGTTACATTTATGAAATAGTGTTTGTAAGACATTTCTTTGTCCAGGCAGAGGTTAAAGGTTACATTTAAGAAAAATCGCTTTTAATATATATTTCAATTGCTTTTTTTTGTTTGTTGTTGCTAACTTTAGCCAGTCAGAGGTTAAAGTTTAAATTTAAAAATAGCGTTAAATTCTTTATTGTGTGGCAGATTTGCTTTCAAATCGCAATGTTTATGTATTTTCCAGTACAGTAGGTTTAAAATGTTTATGTTGTGCCATGATTGGTACCAACATGACACAGAAAGTCTAACCCCAGCTTCCAGGGATTTGAACTGTCATACATGTCCTGGATCTTACTGCATACTTCTACTGTGTTTTAGTGCATATTTTTCATATCTCCTGCTGACCTAGGTCGTTGATATATACTGGTAATGTTTATCAATAGTAATATTTGCTCAGTTTTTTCCAATAGTGATTGTGATATATTGTACATAATATCAGTTGATTACTTTTGTTATTTCATGTTATTTTACACCCCTGAGTTTTGCAGTACCTTTTTTTTTAAAAACTAGAACTCTTACAATCTTTTGGCTACTAGGATTAGATTCTATCTCTAGAAGTCTTACTATGTTTCAGCTATTAGTATTAGATTCTTACTCCAGAATTCCTACAGTGTTTTGGCTATTAGGATTAGATTTCATATTTGTTTTTTTGGAGCTTTTGTTTTTTTTTACACAATCCTAATAGTTTGTGTAAAGTATTAATGCTACCGCAATAGTTTGTGTAAAGTATTAATGCTACCGCAATAATTTGTGTAAAGTATTAATGCTACCCCAATAGTTGTGTAAAGCATTAATGCTGCCGCAATAGTTTGTGTAAAGCATTAAGGCAGCCGCAATAGTTTGTGTAAAGTATTAATGCTGCCGCAATAGTTTGTGTAAAGTATTAATGCTACTGCAATAGTTTGTGTAAAGTATTAATGCTGCTGCAATAGTTTGTGTAAAGTATTAATGCTACCCTATAGTTTGTGTAAAGTATTAATTCTACTCACTAGTTTGTGTAAAGTATTAATGCTATTGCATTGTTCTGTTACCTGAACCTTTATTAATACTCAGCATGTTTATTTATCAGAGTTGTGTTAAGCATAGTGGCATCTGTCTATCATAAAATTAACCAGTCTCTTTTACCCATTGAATGTTTTACTGTTAAGAGTGTTTTCCAAGTTGTCCTGTTGAGAGTTTTATTACTCAAGTTGGCACAGCTCCACACGTTCAGTATGGAGATGTCAATCTAAATGTTTGTTGACTATTTCACCACTAAATCTTTGTTTGATGTTACACAACTAAATCTTTGTTTAATGTTTCACCACTAAATCTATGTTAAATTGTTCCACAACTAAATCTTTGTTTATTGTCTCACAACTAAATCTTTTTTTAATGTGTCACAACTAAATCTTCAAGCCATGGGTTTGTTAGAAATTACTGTTGACTTCAATAGCTGTTGGCACGTGTCATGGTACATAAATTTTAATGTATTTTCTAAGAAGAGATTGTGCCACCTCTAGATAGTGTGACATTGTACCATCTTTAGAGGCAGGGATGTCAGAAAAGTACATGTTTACAATGTTTATAAGCCAGAGAATAATAAAAAAAAAATGCATTCGAAATTTCAAAGCAATTTAAACCAAAAAAAAATTTGGACATTAAGTCACAACCATTAGGAATTCTGGGGGAGTAAAATATAACAGATAATTCCAGATATAGTCCAGTGAAAACCAGATATAATCCAGTTGAAACCAACACTTTTTTGGTAAATTATGTGTACATCTTTAGGAGACTGGGATGATTCTCTGTACATTCTTCAAAAAACAAATTCTAGTTAAGGGAAATCTTCAAAGAAAATTATTTGAACTATCAGTTCATTGATCAATCAATTCTTCCAAAACCATTCCCTGGCCTCACTCACTACTCCGCTAGATATTTTTGCCAGTTGTGAAATGATCTTGTAACCCAAATTAGGTCAGTAAAACTGTTATGTAGATATCTGTAAACTTTCACAGGACAAGGTTAAGATCATTTTTAAAAAAAAATAGTCTTTTTAAAGGTCTCCGTAACTGTCTCATTGTAATGGTTTCAGTAACTGTATCATTGTAAAGGTCTTGGTAACTGTCTCATTGTATGTAAAGTTCTCAGTAACTGTCTTATTTAATTAATTTATTTTACATGAAAAAAAAAATGGAATCGACGTACTCAAAATAACAGTTGAAATAATGAAATTTGGAATTTGAAAAGTTTTCTGTCTAAATTTGTTAAAAATTATCAGATAAAGTAACGGAACCCATCTTAGAATAAATTATTTAAATGCATATTCATATATTAACATTACAAAGGAAATGCAGTTCACAGACACCCTGAACCATTTCACGAACTTCCAAGAGCTCCATGGCCCACGGTTTACAAACGCTTGGATTAAGCTTTTGGGAAATAAAACATTTTACATTAATTAATTCCACTTTTGGATATTATAATAGGATTTTGAGAGACCCTGAACAATAATTCAAACATTCAATGTTTAAGCATTCAGACTAAGAGTTTTTATGAGTCGAAGCCACAATATGAGAAAGCTATTTTCAAAGTTTAATATATTTTTATCAGTACCCGGTACATCTTAAGAGTACGATCTACATTATGTGAGTACGGGTATGTCTTTACAATTAAGATCTTTAATATGTGAGTTAATATTTGGGATTAATGTTAGTAATCACTTTTTTTCTCTGTCTGTTATTGCAAGTGTAAGCTACATTTTATTAAATCGATTGTCTGTCAAACGGTTGCTGTGTTGGCATCTTGTAATGCAATTATTTTAATAAAAGACTTGCTGTGTAAGCGATGTGTTGTATACAATTTGTTGATGAACTTCTCCTTTCAATTCTCTATAGTTACATCTATCTCAAAGTAACAGAGGCACTTATTAGAGCCCAACCTAACTGATTTATAAACATTGAACAGAACAGCATGCATCAGAAGGAGAGATGCGGTAAAAGGAGAGATGCGATAGAAGGAGAGATGTGGTAGAAGGAGAGATGCGGTAGAAGGAGAGATGCTGTAGAAGGAGAGATGCGGTAGAAGGAGAGACGTGGTAGATGGAGAGATGCTGTAGGAGGAGAGATGAAGTAGAAGGAGAGATGCGGTAGAAAGAGAGATGGGGTAGAAGGAGTGATGCAGTGTCATCTCCCATTTACCTTAATTTAGATAATGGGGAAAACTTTTTTTTAAGAAGATAAAAAATATCTTTTTGTGATACAATAAAAATGATACTTTCAAATAAAAACGCTGCTGATGCAACTGATTTACTGAAACTTTGTCATCAACGGACATGGCACTGCGGCAGTGAAAAAACAGAAAAATGTCTTTGGGTGTATGAGTGACAGATGGATTAAGGCTAATTAAAAAAAATGTCTTTGGGTGTATGAGTGACATGGATTAAGGCTAATTAAAATGGAGACGGACACGCAAACACATAGATACACTCAGCAATTTCTAACTTTGTATTTCAGTTTACGTTTTTATGAAAAACTTAAAGATTGCCACTACTTTATTATACCATCCATAAAATATCCATCATCCGTCTTTCTGTCTCAGCCAAAATGTTATCCATGAATCTGAGTGTTAAACAAGTGTTTTATATTTATATGAAATTTCTCTGCTATGTTTATACAATTTTACCCAATAAAGCTCATAATTTAATACTAATAATTAATAAATAGAAAAACTTGAAAAGATTGAAACAAATTGTGTTTCTTTGTTCATTACATACATTTCAGTTGCAAATTATTTTTTGTTACCAATGTTTTTGTTGGTGAGGGTTGACCAAAACAAAGGGAGATATTAATGATTAATAATACTGTACTGTAATGTTCTAGACATTTTATAGAGTATATAAGTGCAGAGGCAGTGTCATGGGGAGTAAGCATTGAGGGGTGGGTGTGAGAAGGGTAAGAGTTTCAGGTGGTGGGTGGTTAGGTCGGTAGTGAGGGTTGGGTGGTTAGGTAGTGAGGGTTGGTGGTTAGGTAGTGAGGGTTGGGTGGTTAGGTAGTGAGTGAGGGTTGGGTGGTTAGGTAGTGAGTGAGGGTTGGGTGGTAAGGTAGTAAGTGAGGGTTGGGTGGTTAGGTAGTGAGTGAGGGTTGGAGAGTGGGTGGGGGATAGGGATGCAAGTGGGAGGCAAGATGTGGGAAGGAGGAACGGGAAGCATGGGGGTTGGTGCCAGTGAGATGGAAATGGGGGGGGGGTGAGGTTGAAGATACAGTCATCTAGTTATTGTGTGGGGTTGAAGATACAGTCATCTAGTTATTGTGTGGGGTTGAAGATACAGTCATCTAGTTATTGTGTGGGGTTGAAGATACAGTCATCTAGTTATTGTGTGGGGTTGAAGACACAGTCATCTAGTTATTGTGTGGGGTTGAGGATGGTCATGCTTGAAAGCAAAGGATCATCAGCAAGATTAGGTGGATTTAACTTATTAAAGAACAGAATACCAAATAGTCATATTAATTCATCAATAAGCATATGAAGTAACTCCATGAACAGCATTGTCATTGACAGTGTCCTTATGAGCAGCACGTTTAATGCTCCCCTCTCTCTTCCCTACAACAGTCCCATCCAGTAAATCTCTCTTACCTACAACTACAACAGTCCAAAGTACAGCAATCACCCCTTTTAAACAATAAAATAATTCAGGCTTCATTTGTGTGAAAAAATATATATTATCTTTAAATGTAAAATTTGTTTACTTGAAAATAGAAATAACAAGAGTTGGACAAAAACAGGAAGGATTTTTCTCTAAAAAAAATGGAACATACGCTATCAACATCACTACACATTTATAAACAAAGGCACACATTTATCAAAATTTGTGTACATTTATTAAAAATTGGTGCACATTTATTAAAATTGGTGCACATTTATTAAAATTGGCGCACATTTATTAAAATTGGTGCACATTTCATTAAAAAAATGGATTAAAGCTGTGCAGAATATGAGAACCACATCACTCAACACACAAAACCCTATTGTACGCCTTCCCCTCTTTCAGAGCAACATTAAATCAACAAGAACTCTTCAGTGCATAGATTTAAATTTTTTTGTTTTTGTTTATGGCTCCCAAAAATCACCTAGCTGGCCACCCCTGTTTGAACAACAAACTCTCGGTTTATTGCAATAGGGGCAATAAACATCACACTTTTAGCCCAATGTTAGGAGGCGCTTTTGTTGATCCTTTCCCAATCATTTTGGTTAATTTAAATTCCATTACATGGTGAAGGAATGTTTCATTGCATATTTTGTATTCTTGTGTCAAAAAATAGACATCTGGACTTAAAAAAATTGAATACTTGTGAAGCAGGAAGAATGCTTTCATTTATTTATCCGCAGAGAGAACAGTCTTCATATACTGGGTCATCACCCTGATCCAGTTAATTCAGTTGAGTCGATGTGTCAAGCAGTGATTATCTAGTCTTAGATTGGTAAATGATAATGCAAACAGCAACTTGTCAAAATGTCTGTTTCATTAATTCCTGGAAGACTTGTACTTTGAGGTTATCTTGATAACAATGGCCTGCAAAAGAAGTAAAAAAAAAAAAAAAAAAAAAATTAAAAAAAAAAACAAATAAAAAAAAAAAAAAAAAAAAATGTTAACTTGATAACAATTGCAAGCAAAAGAAATAAAAAAAAAAAAAAAAAAAATTTAAAGAAAAAGTCTAATAATAATAATAATAATGTCACAGACATTTTATGTTAACAGTAATTTTTTTCTATTTCAAGGAATGTAACTAGAATGTTAATTGAAAATTAGACAGAGTTAGGTGCTACTCTGGATTTTTTAAAAGAAAATACTTTGTTTAAACCTTAGATTTTAACAGTTTTATTTTGCAATACATAAATCGTTGATCTTTGAAAGTTGAAGAGAGCAGAAGATCAGCAGACTTTAGACATACTCCAGAAACACTTCATTTAACAATATTATAGGTCTTTTCATTTAGAGCCAACTATGAAATCTTATAACATGCATTATAAGGTTACAAAATTGAACTGAAACATTTCTATGTAAAAACAATGTTATCTTGTGATGCATATTGTAGAAATGGAGAGACCTTTTTGTTTATGGGACGAGAGCCAAAAAATTAAATTCAGCCAAAGTGGAACTGCCTTTTGTTTAAATGTAGGCCTACGTTAATTACCCTTTTAAGGAGAACCTTTTCTCCCCAAATACTCTGAGCAAGAAGTGAGATGGACAGTCCTCAATGAAAGTACTCGGAATGATGACGTAACATCCGGGATCTAACTCAAATCTTCCGCTCACTTCCCTGTAGTTGATGAAAAAACTAGTTTTGGCATATTCTGAATTAAAGCGAAAATACTGAAGAGGTAATTTATAGAGTCGCTCACTTGTCTGAAAATAGAAAAAGGAAAAAAAGTTCTTCAAATTTCAGTAAATGATCATAACCTCTAAGCAGATAAACAAAATAGCATTATTTGAAGTTAATGAAACAAATCAACACACAAATTGATACAACATGAGTAATCTTAGACTAACAGCTATATTGAGTGATCCTTTGACCGTGGATCTTGTTACTAAAAATATGAAACACGTCATGTGATGACATTAATGAAATTTCTAAGCCCACTCTCTGATATAATACCATATAATATTTACACCCATGTCATTAAACTGTCAGAAACCATGACATACCCATGTCACTACACTGTCAGACACATTGACACAACCCATGCCATTAAACTGTCAGAAACCATGGAATACTACATGTCATTATGTTGCCAGCCACAGTACAGCACTCTCCTAATTAAATACAATTAAGTCACCTGGTAGAGAAAGAAGCCAATCTGATACATCATAGGCTTGACATTTTTGCTGATCTGTCGATGTTCTTGCATTAAAGATATCACAATGTTTTGTTTGCTCTCACTTGCAAAATCATTCATTCCTTTATAAAAACAAAAGAATAGTTTCATCATCAAAAAAGAATAATTTCATTATCAAAAAAGAATTATTTCGTTATCAAAATAAAAGAATAATTTCATTATCAAAATAAAAGAATAATTTTACTAACAAAATAAAAGAATAATTTCATTATCCAAATGAAAGAATAATTTCATTATCAAAATAAAAGAAAAATTTCATTATCAAATTAAAAGAATAATTTCATTAACAAAATTATAGAACAATTTCATTTACAAAATAAAAGAAGAATTTCATTATCAAAATAAAAGAATAATCTCATTTGCAAAATTAAAAGATAATTTCATTATCAAAATAAAAGAGCAATTTCATTATTAAAATAAAGGAATAATTTCGTAAAAAAAATTAAAAGGTAATTTAATTATTAAAATAAAATAATAATTTCATTTGCAAAATACTAAATAAAATAGTTTTTTTTACAGTTTAACCAGAGGGGCAGTGAGATAAATTTAACATGAAAACATTGTCTTCACTATCCGCAGAGCTCCATATAAAGGCCAATATTTTCAACAGGCATACATCACATGAAAGAATCTATAGAAAAAAATGCTGAAATAAAGAGACCACTAGGACAATATATTTCTTATCGATATTTTAAAAGCTTCTCACTCATATCAGTTAAGCTGAGCAGGTATTGGTCATTTGTTGCAAATTTGTTTAAATTGTTTCTTGATCCCCCAGCTGTTTTGCCCAAAATCCATTCCCCCCAAATCATTTCTGTATGACCTGGAGAAAAAGTAAAAAAATAAAATAAAATAAACAGATTCTTGACTGATTATTAGCGGCATAATTCAGTTACTAAATAATTTATTTATCTTCATTGTAATGAAAAACTCAATCTATCATTCTAAAAAGATATAAAGCTATTTATTAATCAAGAATGATTTCTTATTGCATGCTACAGCTATGTGATTTGGTCAAAGTCAGTGTTGCAGCTAAGTGATGTGGTCTATATCAGTGTTACAGCTGTGTGATGTGGTTTAAGTCAGTGTTGCAGCTATGTGATGTTGTCTATGTCAGTGTTGCAGCTATGTGATGTTGTCTAAGTCAGTGTTGCAGCTATGTAATGTGGTCTAAGTCAGTGTTGCAGCTATGTGATGTGGTCTAAGTCAGTGTTGCAGCTATGTGATGTGGTCTAAGTCAGTGTTGCAGCTATGTAATGTGGGTCTAAGTCAGTGTTGCAGCTATGTGATGTGGGTCTAAGTCAGTGTTGCAGCTATGTGATGTGGTCTAAGTCAGTGTTACAGCTATGTGATGTGGTCTAAGTCAGTGTTGCAGGTATGTAATGTGGGTCTAAGTCAGTGTTGCAGGTATCTAATGTGGGTCTAAGTCAGTGTTACACCTATGTGATGTGGTCTAAGTCAGTGTTGCAGCTATGTGATGTCGGTCTAAGTCAATGTTGCAGCTATGTAATGTGGGTCTAAGTCAATGTTACAGCTATGTGATGTAGTCTAAGTCAGTGTTGCAGCTATGTAATGTGGTCTATAACAGTGTTACAGCTATGTTATGTGGTCTAAATCAGTGGTTTAGTTGTTGCAGTATTTTGGACACAGAACAAGTGCACATTTGTTTGGGAGTTTAGTCCTCAATCAATGTTGAAAAGAATATCAGAAAGAATTTCAGAGAGAATGTCTTTGAAAATGTTAAAGAGAGTTTGAGAAACAATACTAAAGAGAATTTAATGTCTGATCAATCCAGAGAACTCCCCAAAACAGTGTATATTTTTAATAATTTTTTTTTTAAACTTGCACTTTATTTTTAAATTAATTAAATACATTTTTAGCCACAAATTATGCCAGTAAACATTTTTTTAAAAAACGTTTAGCTTATGCTAAGGATAACATTCCTCCTCCAAGGATAACATATCTCCTGCACCATTTTTTAATTCTTTAAACTTAGCTGGTTGCTTTTGAAAATATTGACCCAAAAAAAAATTAGAAAATTTAAACCCTAGTCTTTGATGGCATTCATTTTATTCCATAATCATTAAAAAAGTTGACTATTTAAAAGCCGTTATTTCGATAATCAGAAAATCTTTGATAAATTGAAACATTTTTTTCAGCCTGCATGTCAAAAGCTCAAATTTAAGCTCGTTAAGATGTATGGAAATTGTGTAATAACTTTGAAAAAAACAACTGAATCAGATTTTAGTCTAAATTAGTCTAAATTTTTTTAATTATAATTAAAATAAATGATTTGCACAACTCCAGCAAGGAATGATTTTTAAAAGAGTTGAAATCAGGTCTTTTAATAAATAATTAAAAATATTATTATCTGTCTGTTGACTTAATAGTATAGGTATGTCGGTAAATAGACCTATTCTTGACTGTCCCTCTGCTTACTGGGACTGCAGCAGGTTTTTGCTCTCTTGATGGAAGTGCAGATCTGATTGACTTATGAATGCAAACTTGTGATCAAAAACATTCAACAGTTTCTATTTACCTACAACATCTGGTGTACCATCTCCATCAAAATCCGGGCTTAAGTGGCAAATGGTCACTTCACCAAACTGATGATAGAAATCTCTAAATGACATCCAGAACTCTGCACTATCCAGTTTGCCAAGGATACTCTCTCTGACATCTTCATCCACCCACTGCCAATTGACATCACTGCACAGTTAAGTTACCAGGATTAATTCTAGACACTTAGAAAATTCATTTAAAAGGAAAATGACTCATGCTTACAATGCTTAGAATAATAAAGTGAGTGGAGAGAAAGAAACATCTGAAAGAATTGAAGTGATTTTAAGACACCAGTCAGTTTGTGACATGTGTCTGTTATAGGAACGACCAGCTCATCAATTTATCTCCACGTCTATTAGGAAGACAGAAAAGAAATATTCTCTTGTTGCCAGGGTGACCTAATAGAAGATTACTGATTAATTAATTAATAATCTGCCATGCTATTTTGGCAGATACTGATTATTCATGATCCAATTATGTATTGAAAAAATATAACATAGCCAACTTTAGATGCATAGAGACTTGCGTATCTCTGTTTGCACAGGTTAAACTCCTACAGACAAGCATAAAAGATAGACTAAAACCAAGTGCATTTACATCTCAATAGCATTTTCTAATATCAAATGGCCAATTAGTTGATTCATAAGTATTAAAAGAAAGGTGCTGATTAATCAGAGAAATGGTGATTAACACTTAACCTGCAAATTAATTAGAGCAACCTTAACTTACCTGAACCCTTACATTAACCCTAACCCTTGCATTAACCCTTACCTTAACCCAAACCCTTACCTCTACCCTAAACCTTACCTTAATGCTAACCCTTACCTTAACACTAACCCTTACCTTAACGCTAACCCTTACCTTAACCCTAACATTAATCCCAACCCTTACCTTAACCCTTACCTTAACCCTGACCCCAATTGTACAAGATTAATAGTTGACCTATTATATGTCATTATAATTCTAACATTCTCAAAAGAATTAAAAAAAAAAAATGTTTGAATTTAATTTGGTCAAACCAACCAATTTCTCCTTACTGGTCACTCCAAGACCCTTTCCACTTGGCTCCATCGCCCCAGGGGTTTCTTATACACACCATTTTCTCTTCTCCCATCTTGTGCTTCAGCTGAAAAATCAACACAACAAAATGTTAGAAACCTACCTGCCCTAGGAGGTGACTCAAGACCACTGAAAGTCCACCCTGGGACCCTAAACAACTCACCTCCCCACCTCAAGGCCACTCACAGTCCACCATTGGACACTATACACATCTCTTTCAAGCTAGACTTAAAAAGAAATAATCATGCACCTTCAATTGTTCAAAGATTTCTAAAAATTTAAGAAATATAAATGCTTCAGCTCTACAGTTTTGTAATTGTTTGGCCATGGTTTATCTCAAATTAGCTTTCTGTTAAGTCACAATGGTGTGTGCCTACTACTTTTTCAGTCGGTGGAGCTGGTGCCAACACATCCTTTTCAATAGGTATTAATTGGGTATATGTTATCTAAACTATATATACTTGATATTTTATTTGATATTTTATTTGAACTTTTAGAGCCCATGTGTTTAGGGAAACACAAGAGCACATGTGTTTAGGGAAACACAAGTGCATAATTCCATTGAAAAATAAATTTAAGCATGCTGCTGATACATAAAAAGTTTACCACCAAAGTATTTATAATGGTGTAAGCATGGCCAGGTATCAATCCATTTGGGTCTGCCACATTGGACAACCTCCAGTCTCCCTTTAGGAAGGTAGAGAAGAAAAATAAAAATCAATTAACTTGTTGTTGCTCCCAATTCACCATCATAATCTTTCATTTTATCACCATTTCAAATTCTTGCAACATAAATTAAATGCCTTTTCTTTTTTAAGTCCCACAATTTTATCACAACAAACCTTGATTTTATATAAAATTCTTTTGCTTTAATCTTGAGAGGCCAGCATACAATTATACAAAGAAAATATCTCCCTAGATATAAGCACTTCCACATATGAGTAAATCAAGAACTCTGTCACATTCCTTACCTTATATAATAAGTAAGTATGGATTGCCTAATGTGTTGACTTATTGGAGTGTGATGCTGCCCTAGTTTTTGGAAACAAACCCTTTCTTTATGATGTGCCCATGTTTTGGTAATGTGCACTAGTTTTGTGATGGTGCCCCACCTTTAGAATGGTGCCGTTGTCTTGGAATAAAAACATAATCTTGTGGTGTACAAATTTTGTGAAGGATCTTTTATTGGATAAATGTAACCCGCTGCTCTTTGATTTGTGAAACTTTTGAGTGTAAAACTCCACAGTAAAATAATTAACGCTATAAGAGCAACTAAAATGGAATAATTACCTTCCGTGAGCATGCAATGAAACCTCCGGCTCGACGCGCTGTATGGATAAACCTGAACAATGATGGGTCATGCTCTACGAGTTCAAATCTCTCAGCCAGTCCCCCAGTTAAGTCAACAAGGGCATCCATTGTGATCCCACCCCCAAGAGCCTCATAGCATCCATAAAGTCTGGCAAAGAACCCACTTATTAAAAAAAAATCAAACAATAACAATGCATTTTGGCCTAATAATATGGATTGATGTAGATTACAGAATGATTTGATTTCTATGTAAATGTCTGCCTGGTGATGTTTGAAGGTCCAAAGTGTGTCCAATTCATCTCAAGCTCCTATTTATGATGTTCTATTTATATAGTGTTGATCCTCTGCTAGAAGTTCCCATTCTATAAAGAATCCCCTTTTACTATTGTTTAGTGAAGTTCTGTATCTTTATTTCAAAGATTTCAATAATTAAATGCACTTAAAATTCTTCTTCTATAGACTATACTTACAGAGATAAAGTTAACAATTTGATGTAGTTGTACAATGAGTTTTAGAAATTTGTGAAGTTGCTAGTCAGAATCTAAATATAGAAACTTTTAAAATTTCTGATTTATTGCTTTTTAAATCAATAATTTGAAATTTAATATCATTTTAAACAGTTGCTTTAGTAAATTATTTCTACTCTCCAAATATTAAATTAAGTTCACACCTTTGTGAACCTTTATTATATTTAAAAGAATGTAACATATGACTATTGTGTCAACATTCAGTACAAGGCCTTTTTATAATTGTGAAAGAAACTTATTAAGTATATTTATCAAAGTTTAACAAAGCTGTTGAGCTCTGATAGTGTTTAATTTAGCAACTTTGAATATCAGATTTTGTTGTAGAAAATATTTATAAATATATTCTCTTATATAAATTTATACTCATATTTAAATTTATACTCATAAATGAGCAAAAGTGGTACACAGACAGAAACCAAGAGGCAAACACCTCACTCATAGACCAATACTGAGATGGGTTGATGATGTAGAGATGGATTTATGCACGGAGACGAAAAGCCAAAGATTGGTCTGAACAGAAGGACGCAGTGGTGCAGGCGAGAGCCCTCCATGGGGGGCAGCATTATTGACGATGATGCTATTTGTATATTCTTATATTTAAATAACTACTCCTATATACAAACTTTTCTGATTGTATTTGGATGCTGTAAAGTATTGTCGAATGATGATGCTATTCCTATATGCTTATATTTAAATAGCTACTCCTATATACAAACTTATCTGATTGTATTTGGATGCTGTAATCTATTCCTGAATATTGTTTTATAAAACTTACTGTTGTTGAACTCACTTTGCATAAGCTTTCTCAATTAGAGGAACCCAGAATTCTCTAGGGTGAGTACATCTGCCAAAAATCAATTTTCTTTTCACAGTCGGCAAGCGGTCATCAATTATCACCTGGACCCATTGACCAAATCGCCAGAAAAAAAAGCGAACAACACCTTTATACTGTGGCCCTGAAAGGGCCTGATTCTTTGGAATGATCTGAAAGAAAGAATGATAAAATAACAATTTTACGTGCTTGGCTTAAATATTTCATTTTGTAAAAATGTTTAATTCAAATCTTTTGAAAAAACTAGTGAGAGATTTGGAAATCATTTGTTCTCTTCTTAGATTTGTTGTGTAAAAACAAAATAGGAGGAACAACATTATCAACCAATGATATGCATTTTGCAATGATAAACTTCATCTATCACTGGAATAAAATTCAAGTTTGACACAGTTTGAAAAGTTTGTATTTTAAATTACATTTTTTCTATGTTCCAGTTCCTTGTTCTCTATATATAATAACCTTGCTCTATATGTATCATAACTTTGCTCTGTATATATCTTTATCTTGCTCTGTATATCATAATCTTGCTCTATATATATCCTACTCTTGCTCACTCTCAAAGTCTGTGTCTAAGCCAGAAAAAAATTACTTAGACCCCACTAAAAATCAAAGTAATTAACAGATGCATTTTCAATCATTAAAAAATTCACTTTTATGCAAAGTATTTCACTTGCTCCTAGATGTGGTGGTCTTGTTCACCACCATGCTTGAAAACTGAAACTGAATAGCTGACAAATTGCTATAATTACCATAGTCACAAGCCCAATCATTGAAAATATGTATATAAGGAAGCCACCATTATTTTCCTTTGTGCAGCCAGTCAATAATATACTCAAATTTCTTCTACTATTATCATTGAGTTTTCTAAATTAGACATACTATGGGCAACTCTATTTTTGCAAAACACAGCCCACTTTGTATGATTATGCAACCAGGGATTTGGAATAACATCTGTACATAGTACTTTATGACTACATAAGATGTTTATCAATTAATTTAGATAACATATTTAATTATTATGAATCTATCATTAATAAAAGATTATATTTAAGTTGTTATTCTGTCAAGTATAGAAGCAATGTTACTCTATCAAATATCACATCTGTTATTGTAATGATGATTAGTATATTCATTTAAAAAAATATATGTACTGATCATATTAATCTGTCAAGTAGATCAAATGTTAAAATAATGGCCAAAATCAGTGTCTACCTTGCTCATTATTTTTTTTCTTTTTGAAACAGCTGCACATGAAGACAAAAACCAGCAGTCTCCCAAAATTCCTTGCCTTATATCACCTTGTGTAACACCATCTATCACAAACTCTGGATAAAACTTGTCACCGAGGATTTCCTTTAAAAAAAAATGAATATTCATCTTTTTGGAGAATTGAAAATAGTAGACATGCATAACATCTAGTTTCTAAAAAGCTAAAATATATAAATATTAATCACAATGCCCAGATGATCAAAATGAATGGATTGTCGCAGATGATTGGAAATTGAACGGAACTTCATACCTGAGGTCTGAGCCACTGTATATCACCAAAAACTTGTTGTCTGGGATTCAAGTATAAAGCTTCATTATTAGCAGGAAACTCTGGGTCTTGGTAAACCTGTCCTGGTGGCAAACTGTAAAGGATGTCCTCATATTCTTCCTGAGTCTAATCACATAACAATAGATTGGACAAACTGCATCAGTATTATGATTACCATGTCATTTAAATAGCAAGAAATGTCTTGACCAAGGGACAGTGTCTAAACTTGAGATTTTGAAGTGCTCATGTGTGGGGCTTAATAATTAACACAGTACATCAACCTTGCTGTAGCTCCCAAAATTTAATAATAATATTACAAATATTTGACAAATTTTTAATGTTTTGAGAATTTGTATAAGTCTATCAACAAAAGGAAATCCAACAATAACAATTGAAGTGAAAATATTTAGATTTATCAATGTATAACCAACAGTCTATATTCAATTCAAGTTAAATAAAATAAGTTTTCAGTTTGTCACTACTCATTCTGCATTATGAATGTCAAAACAAAACTGATGACAGAGATTTAAATCAAATTAAATCAGTGGTTCATTTTAAATTCGATCGATACTATGGACATGGGCGATATTGGTGATATGGTTTAAATTCTAGTTAACTGGATTGGCAAGACTGGGATTCCCTTCCTCATGATTATCACTCAAAATAAAAAAAAATACCATCATACTTCTTAATCAGAAATAAAATTGTAGTATGCAGATAAGGCAATTGGCTGGCTACTTGATTTATTTTACAATGATTAAGTTCATTAACATACCGAAGTGGCATATGAATAACTTGCATCCGAAAAATCCGAAAATGAATGGCCGGAATATCCAGTGGCCTGGCTGTGGCTTCCTTTGGCCTTGGCACCCAAGGGCTGTTGCTGCTGTTTGGAAGTATTACTAGGAATACTATCTGGGAAGGGGGGAAATGCATTTTTCGTATCGTCTCGTACGACAAAGGTTCTCTGCAAATTCTCATCCTGTAATAGTAGATTAACTTCATTAAGTGCAGATACTTGATCACCACTGATACTGAGAGTGAGAGCAAATTCTGGCGAGACCTTCGTCCACGAATGTTCATGACTAGTGGTACATCCCATTGTGTACAAAAACATTGGTAAATACTATTTAGTTTTTAACCTAAAATGAGCTTTAAAAAAACTGCTGTACATTTTCTAACTACTTTTCTACGCGAATAAGTTCTTAGTTGTATTATTATTACGGATTATTATTGGCGATCTGGCGTATCCAATGAAAACATTCAATAAAGAGTAATCGAGCAAGTGGATTGGAAAAAGAAAAGAACAATCGCAAAACAATTAAATACTACGTTCGTTAACTACGGAATGATGCATACGGAAAATGTCCCCAAAACTGTTGTTTTTAATGAAAAAGCTAATTTTTAAAAAATAATTTTAAAATTAAATGTACTTAAACAACACCCGGATCAGTGGACATTTATCACACACTCTCACATATGAACGAAATAATGTCAGTTCATGTGTGCCGCGAGGATCGGGTGGTAGCCTATATCTCTAGACCAGGGGTCTCAAACTGAAATCATCCGGGGGCAGCAGGAGGTAGAGTCTGAGCGAGACTGGGCCGCAAAAAATACTCCACAAAAAAGAGATGACAAATTGAATAAAGCGCAGCTGTTACAATCTGCTCAACCTTTAAGTTTATTAATAACTAATAAAAAACTTTACAGTAAAGGTTCATTTTCTTCCTCTTGTTGCCAGAGACCTGGTAGCGCTTTTTCTTACACAGCTGAGCAACATTTGGCTATTTTAGGGAGATTGAATTTTGATATTTATTTTTTTGTAGAAAAGGATTTTTTGACTAACCCTTTTTTTGCACTAACTCGTCACCATGGGCGCCCGCAGGTAGGGGGAAGGTGGGTGGGGGTGCCCCCCACCCCCTGGATTGATTGGATAAATTTTTTTTAGACAAAAATAGACAAAAAATGTATTAAATTAAAGAGCAAATAAAGAGAAAGTAACTAAGCTGATGTCCTGTCCGTTCGTTCACCATACAAATACAGTAAATTAAAACTATATTAAAACATTACTAAAACTTTTTTGCCCCCCCCCCCTGGAAAGTTAATCAATTTTTTTGCCCCCCCCCCTCCCTAGAAAGGTTTCTGCGGGCGCCCATGCTCGTCACTCGTACACACTATCGGCAGTTTTAAGAGGGATTCTTTAATACTGTGTCAGATTGCTAAAATGTACACAATTATGGTTGTGCATTACTCACCTGCTCGACTTTTTAAACTTTTCTCAAAGCCGAACTTGGCCATGTTTATCTCATAAAATGCTATAATATATAAACTTTTAGTCCGATTTTAGAACGTTTTTTTTACCATTATAATCAACGTCCAAATCTACACAAACATAATAAAATCAGAATTCCACTAGTCGGTGAGATTCGACTGAAACCGTCGCGGAGGGTCACATTATAGATATGAGAATGGGGAAAACGAGCGGGCCGCATTAACACTAAACTTTGCTGTCAGGTATCGGGCAGCAAAATGCCATCTTGCGGGCCGCAAATGACCCGCGGGCCGCGAGTTTGATACTCTTGCTCTAGACTCTAGTCTAAAAAAAGAAATCATTCCAGGAATGTCATATTTATGATGTAGACTAGTAGCTGTGCCGTCGCGTGGCAGGCCCGCACCTAGGAAATTCGGTCCCCAGGCAGCTGACAGAGTTCGGCCTCCTTTGAGTAAACTTACTTATAACAAACCAAATGATTTTAGTTAGACAATTTGGTTTAAGAAGCGATAGGATTTAGCCATAAACACTGATTAAAAAAAAAACAATAGAAAAAGTTTGTTTTTTTATGCCTACAATTAAAATTGTTACAAGTTTTGCCCCATCTCTCGTAGTCTCTTGGTTGGTTTCTCGCCTCTGGAAGCCATCTTTTTGGTTCGGCACGCTCCTTCGTTCACCCACTGGGGTCAACGGAATGACGTGTACGTAGTTGCTCGGAGCACAGCTTCTTCTGCTGGTGGTGGACGTCTGTCCTACGTCACTCTTCACTTGCGTCTGGTCCATAACCGATGTCTGTAGAGAAACGCCGGAGGACTGTTTCAAAGATGCATTCTTCTCCGCGACTGGGTCGGGCAAGGCTCCTTTGATTGTAAGCTGGGTGTCATTCTTAGCTGGCAGAGACGGTTGCGGTTGCTGAACTACGGGCACATTTTGTTTATTCTCAGACTGCTGGGCTTTTGGGGTACTTTCTTTCAAAATGGGCGTGCTTTGTGAACGCCCTCTGGGGGTAGCGCCCTTTGATGTCGTGTTCCCTTGGAGTTCACTGTCAGACCACGGGGATTTAACGGAAATGGCGGGTTCGGTGTGTCTGCGTCCCTGGGCTGCACTGTTGGAGTAACATGTTAGAGCACTTCCACCACAGCCCATCACGTAGCGTCATTCCTTGGCTGTCTGCTTGTGTATCTAAATAGCGTACGATACACTACCATCAACATAGTGGCACCGTTTGCTTTCCTCTCTGTTGTTATAAAAAGAAGGGAATTCATGTCTACATAAACTAAATGTGTATTTTTAATAATAATAATTTAAAAAAAAAGAATTAATGAAGTTTGTTTCTTAAACCGGAAGTAAACACAAAAGTGACGTAAATATCCACAAACAAACGTAAATAGTCGAAAAGAGCATGCACCCGGATTCATGTGAAGCTTTAGAGAACATTATCTTTAGACTAAAACCTCAACAACTATTTATAGCAGTACTTTCGATATGCACCACTGATCACGTAGATTTGATGGGCTGCTTCTATGACTATCTGTTGTGTTACGCCCCAAAGCTTCTGCACAAAATTCTTGAAAACTAATTCTGTCTTCTCTCCCGTGCAGTAACTAATTAAAAGCGCAACACAATCAATCAATCAATAAATAACTGTATCCAAGCCATACACAAACACATAATTCTTTCATGAACGTTGTCTCTACTTTATTTCTAGCGAAGAACTGGTCATTCTTCCTCGTGACCTCCAGTTTTCCAATAATAAACCAAATCACCACACCGTTTAACCACGGTCTACCCCCGCATTCATCACACGACACCATCCCGTCTCACCACGACACCACCATCCCGCCATGAAACTACCATCTCATCACACCACCACCAATCCTATCACACCACCAGGCCACCAACATCTCATCACACCATCATCCCGATCTCACCATGAAACCACCATCGCATCACACCGCCATCCATCTCACTACATCACCACCCTATCTCACCGCACCGCCATGCTATCTCATCACACCACCGCCACCCCATCTCACCGCACCGCCATGCTATCTCATCACACCACCGCCACCCCATCTCACCACACCGCCATGCTATCTCATCACACCACCGCCACCCCATCTCACCGCACCGCCATGCTATCTCATCACACCACCGCCACCCCATCTCACCACACCGCCATGCTATCTCATCACACCACCGCCACCCCATCTCACCACACCGCCATGCTATCTCATCACACCACCGCCACCCCATCTCACCGCACCGCCATGCTATCTCATCACACCACCGCCACCCCATCTCACCACACCGCCATGCTATCTCATCACACCACCGCCACCCCATCTCACCGCACCGCCATGCTATCTCATCACACCACCGCCACCCCATCTCACCACACCGCCATGCTATCTCATCACACCACCGCCACCCCATCTCACCGCACCGCCATGCTATCTCATCACACCACCGCCACCCCATCTCACCACACCGCCATGCTATCTCATCACACCACCGCCACCCCATCTCACCGCACCGCCATGCTATCTCATCACACCACCGCCACCCCATCTCACCACACCGCCATCCATCCCACTACATCGCCCCCCCATCTCACCACACCGCCATCCATCCCACTACATCGCCACCCCATCTCACCACACCGCCATCCATCCCACTACATCGCCACCCCATCTCACCACACCGCCACCCATCCCACTACATCGCCACCCCATCTCACTACACCGCCATCCATCCCACTACATCGCCACCCCATCTCACCACACCGCCATCCATCCCACCACACCGCCACCCCATCTCACCACACCGCCACCCATCCCACCACACCGCCATCCATCTCACCACACCGCCACCCCATCTCACCACACCGCCATCCATCTCACCACACCGCCATCCATCTCACCACACCGCCATCCATCCCACTACATCGCCATCCATCCCACTACATCGCCACCCCATCTCACCACACCGCCATCCATCCCACCACACCGCCACCCCATCCCACCACACCGCCATCCATCCCACCACACCGCCACCCCATCTCACCACACCGCCATCCATCTCACCACACCGCCATCCATCTCACCACACCGCCATCCATCCCACTACATCGCCATCCATCCCACTACATCGCCACCCCATCTCACCACACCGCCATCCATCCCACCACACCGCCACCCCATCCCACCACACCGCCATCCATCCCACCACACCGCCACCCCATCTCACCACACCGCCATCCATCTCACCACACCGCCATCCATCTCACCACACCGCCATCCATCCCACTACATCGCCATCCATCCCACTACATCGCCACCCCATCTCACCACACCGCCATCCATCCCACTACATCGCCATCCATCCCACTACATCGCCATCCCATCTCACCACACCACCATCCCATCTCGATGGGCGGCCACCATCCCGGCGAGCGCACTACCCGCCGTTCCTGATCGCACCCTCCGATAATCGATGGCCCCGTTCCCTGCTGGCACGCGATGCCTAACTGCCGGGTGCTCACACACACCCGCACGAGCCGCACGTCAGCGTCATAGTGAGTGGGATTTGTGTGCTACTCGTGTGCCAGTCATCGTCCTGTGCCCATGCTCTCAACAAGACACAGTATCTCGAGATCTCTGTCACAGTTTTCATTGCAGAGCAACCGATGCGTGTAGAAACGTAGGATGGTATATGCGTATGGCACAAATAAGAATCAGCGCACTCTATGACCCAAACGTAAGCATACGATACAAGACTTTGAAGATCTCGATGTTGATGTGCTGGCAGTCCTCTTAATTGTTGCTGCTGTGTTAGACGCGACACTTCATTGTGTGCTGCTCGGTCACTATTCCATATTGAGCGCTGAAGACATCTGTCCATACGTAAGTTTTTTGGGGGTTGTTAATTTTTATTATTTTTTTTGTGTGTGCGATTTTGTTGTTGTTTAACGATCTTCCATGACTTGACCACTTGACTG